ACATCACTTCAGTCTTATAGAGTGGACAAGGCTTTCTTGTAAACATGTTAAAAACAAACAATTGTGCATCAGCAGAAACTCAAAAGAATGTGTGAATAACTCATCAATAAGGAGAAGACTGTACCATATCTATTGACAGATATGGTTTTAGTTTGTAATTAAAAAAATGGCTCAGGAATAATTGTTTATTATGTGGATATCGGTACCAGTACATAGTTTGAGTCTCATATATGGTTTCAGTCTCATATAAAATTATGGTTATCATCAATGTGAAGTTTTGATTAGAATAAGTCTACATTTCAGTTTTGCTCTAACGGAAATCATAATAACTTTTGTTTTTGAACTTGACGGATTTTCCATAGTTTAAATCCTGAAATTTAGCAATTATGTTTATAATAGATATTTCGATTAAAATAAGCTGCATGCAACCAAATGAGCTAAAATATTTCAAGAAATTCATCTTTGAGAAAAATGAACTAAGATTTTAAGAAAAGTAAAAATATTCACAATTTAAGACATAATTTACATGTTATATACAATTAATGACTGATTTTGCATACTCTATCATCATATTTCTGCTGCGTGACTAACGCAATAAGGGCTATTTTTGGTATTATCTGATCAATTTTTGGTTACTTCTTTTGCTAGATTTAAAGTGCCGTTTGCAATGTGTATTTGTTTAACTTTGTCCACTCAACAATATTTTACTCCTTAAATATTCCATGAAAAGTTTCATGAATCTGTATGCATGCCGCTTTATCTCGAGGCTTTTATCCATTTTTGTCAAACCAAGTACCTTTAACCAAGAAAATTACTTATAGGCGAAATATCATCAATAGAAAACACTTTTTGTTGGTATGGCATATTTTTCGTAGATTTTACTTGAAATGATGTCAGAATAAAACGCAAAATATGTAACATACTTTTTTTCAAAACAATATATTGATACATTCAACTCTTAACAAACAAGAAGTTCATTGGAAAACACATAATTTCATTACTTTTTCATATCTCTATTCCGTCTTTCCAGAAACTAATTTAGTATATACATGTTTTTCGTTCTACAAAATCTTTGTTTAACACTGCTGAAAAACTCTCATGATTTACATTCATGAATATTTTAACATCATTTTCTCTCTCTTTCTATGCATTCGTCTGCACATAGGTAATTTTCTGCATATGTTTGAAGACACATTAAAGAACGAGCAGTTGCAAGTTACTAGTTTCCGTGATAATACGATGTTATTAACTGATAAGCTGTTTGGACTTGCTGCTTAGACAGAACATATGTTGCATATTTTATAAAAAATAAAATCATCATGGCAGAAGAAAAACCTAGACTGCAGTTAGTACGGAAGGTTTATAAGGGCGTGGCAATGTTTGAGAATGAAGTTGAAGAAATAGAACAAATGGATACACGTGATGATGATATATGGGTATGCAGCTTTCCACGCTCAGGTTTGTACATTCTCTAACCTTAAAATGCACGTTGATTTATTTTATGTTTCATTAATGGATTGCGCTTTTTGTGCGTTTTTTGAACTCCACTTGCATTTATTGGCAGCAATATTCAGTGCATTCTTTTTGCATTTTTAAGATATATAAATTCATCTGATATCTGGGTTTGATGTAATGGACAAATCACAGGCTTCTTAAGTGTAATTTCGATGGGTATATTACATTATTATATAGATAAATTTAGTGCCGGGGTGAAAATATTATAGGGCTAAAACACGTAAATCATAGTTAAACTTTAAACGATTTCTTAAGTGTACAATTCGGTAGTAATGTATAACTATAGTGTCGGGGTAATAGAGCTGAAAATGTATCATAAATACATTTGTTGATATCATATAGCCTCAATTACCAGAAACATTATGCAACAACATTTTAAACGGACAGTGACAGGTTTGCCCTTCACATTGACTCAAGGTCATTTTGGTATGACTTATTTAAAGCTGAAATGTCGCCCAATCGCAATTAATTATGCCCAACCTGTTAAATAGATTGTAAATACACCTGATATATGTTGTTTGAATTTACAACGTCTTGTTCATATAAAAGCAATAGCAGTAGAAGACTAAAAACATTAAGTAATATTAATGCAAATCAGCGCAATAGTTTTATCATCTGAATTCAGGAACAACTTTGACGCAAGAGCTGGTACTTTCTTATTGAAACAAGAGACTTCGAGAAAGCCACTACTAGGCAGCTTGATGAGGTGTTTCCAATCATTGATGTAAAAGATGACAGATGCCCATATTACAAAGGTAACAAAACAGTTGTTGCTTATTTTATAATTTTTCAGAAGATTAATTTGATTTTCAAGCTTGTTGTTTATAGGAAGCTAGACAATGTCATTAACCCCGGGGGCCCTCCTTTTGGGGCCCTTTTTCCATTGTTTAAATTTGCTAAGGAACGTTTTATACATTTACAATTGGAAGGTTTTTTAAAAGAAACTTTCATAAACGACTTTTTTCTTTGAAAAACTCAGGGGGAAAACAAAAAGGGGGATTTTTTACACTTAAAAAATCAAAAAGGGACAAACAGGTATAAAATTTTTTTTTTTATATGATACTGGCGCATCTCTCCTAAAATTTTCACAAAAAAAAGTAATGATATTTCATCATTCATTTTTCAAGAACTTATTTTAAATTTTTGAAAAAGGATAAATTTAAAAAATACATTTTAGTGTTTAATTTAGATTACATTTAAACAAAGGATTTTAGGGTTTTATTTTGTTTCAAATGTTAAAAATTTAATACCTCTCAAGCCGGTGAGGGGGGGATGAAGGGGTTTTCATTTTTTTATTACCCTCATGTGCAGACCAATTAAAACCCAGTCTACAATGTTAATATGTTATTGTGGTTGTGATTAATGCTTCCGAGGGAATCACCCTTTTTCCAATTTTCTTTCTTTTGTCATTGTTACAGAATCAAGTATATAGAACAAATGAGTTGTCCTCGTTTAATTAAATGTCATCTTCACTATCATATGCTACCAGAACAGTTACGTCGAGGCAAAGGAAGAGTATGTGCTTATATTGTTTTGCTTGTTTACATATTATTAACAATTTAGGCGATCAGAAGTGAACTTAAAACTATTTTTTTAGTAGATAGTGTTCATTTTTCTTTGAGCATTCACTATGCATTAAATTGATGAGGAAATAACAAGAATTTTTGTACTTATGATTTCAGATACTTTTACATAACATTTACCAGCTTATGTTATATTAATAAATATCTTATTCATAACTATCTTATTTTTACATAGTTGAGTTCATACATAATACCGGTTTGTCGTCAAGAAAATAGTGGATTTGTATTTAGTATGTTGTGTGCTAGAACAATAATCAAATCTTTCAGACTAATCCATATTATATTGTGTGTAACTGTAATTTTCAGGAAAGTAGTAGTCTTGTATGCGTCCAGTAAATATAATTATAAATCAAATGCTAAGTTGACAGTATAATAAGTAACAGTTACCGTGCGAGGAATATGTCTGCAAAGTATTTACAGACCCGGGTGGCGATTTGAAGACCGAGAGAGCGTAACGATCGAGGTTTTTAAAAGGCCACCGGGTCTGTAAAAACTATGCAGACCTATCCTGAATGCGGTAACTATCTTACCTACATGCTCTTCTGTTTTCCTATCCATACATCAGTTTTCAACTCAATATTTATTAATATTACTCACGAGAAACTTATTATTTATGTACTTTATCATGTTTAAGAAAGCATTCCAAAGTCATGAAAAGATACCATCCGCTACGCTCTTGTAATTCATTCGTTTACAAATCAGCTGTTATTTCAATATTCTCGTGTTTTTCGTGAGGTTCATTATGTAATAAGGTCAGGTAATGTACTTGTTGAGTTGAGTCACAGAAGATGAAAACAGGTCTTTTCTTCACTATCATTCGTTTAAAGAAATAACAAAAACATAAATGCAATACCAGACGTGCGATTTATTTTGCAGAGAGGAACAAATTCAACAGCAGTTAATGAAGCTAAGCAGCTTTGATATTGCAAAAAATAATATAACCAAATATCCACGGGATCTCAAGTGAATGTATACGTTTTTCTTTTCTTAAAAGAGAAAAAACACAAAGACTAGTCTGTGTATTACTGTTTTGAAAATTTAATTACGCCGGAAAGGAAAGACAAAAATATTAAGTATGCGAACCGACTCGCCCAGGAAAACAACAGAGATCAAAAACATTTAAAATAAATGAATTTTCTCTGAAAAACCTGTGCCCGTTTGTCAAATGTCAGATCGCTTGAATGTCGGGCCTCATTCCTTGTGGATATAAAGTTATGAACATCGCAAATTCAATATTCATTATGACAAATCTTGCCATTGAAACCATAAATAGATTTATCTAATTATTATTGTAAACATCTTTACGTATGAATAATTTATAAAACAGTTAAATTCAACAACCTTATAGCATCATATAAGCGCTTATAGCCAATACACATATAAAAGAAAAATTATACTCATATTTATTTTGTCTTCAAAAAACCCCATAATTTTCTAATATATTATCAAAACCCTATTACCAATTTTCAAAAAAGAAAAAAGATGTTTCTTAATGATTATATAATAACAATTGATACATGCATAAAATCTGATTTTAACTTATACAATAACGATTGATGTACATGTATGTATAAAGTCTGATTTTTACTTTTACATTTCAGCTAATGTTTTACGACAATTAAAAAACATTATGTGCATATGCATATATTTCCACCCTATCATCTTTACTAGAAAATTGTTGCTTGTACTGAATCGTCTGGTAGAATGAATATTTTATACACATAAACCTTTAAATACTACACTATCAAGCACGTAAAACTCGTGCACAAGTACTGACCAATACTTTACATTATAAACTATACACGTTACGAATAGACAAATATTTCACGCTTTACTAACGAAACGCGTGAAATAGATAGTCTTGTCTTCACTATCATTCGTTTAAAGAAATAACAAAAACATAAATGCAATACCAGACGTGCTATTTAGAAAACACAAAAAGAGCGGGCTTGAGAAATAACGAGATTTACTTGCTACAGCGCCAATGATTTTAAAACATTCAATCTCCTCTCGAAGGAGTCCGAAACATATCCGTCCTTACTATTTTCTCCTTTCCAACGTCCGTGCCTCTTCCAGCACCTGTCATTAACGCCAGCGTTAGCCGCCATGGTAGCGCCCCAGCGCGAAGAGAATGTAAACCGATGTTCGAATCTCCAACAACCTCTTTTAATCTAGAAACCAAACATTCTCTAACCCTAGTATAACTTAATGATTTGTTTTTGTGTATAAAACTACATTTCCCTTTTGATCTAAAACACGGTTTAAACATGAAGCCGTCATCCGAAACTGACAAACCCGTAATTTGAAAATATCTTTTAATCATGTTATACGGACATGCTACTGATACGCCCTTTGAAATAACGATTGTATTACCGTGTCGGTACTGGTCAGTCTTGCTTTTTCTGATATACAAGAAAAATGATTGTCGTAAAACTGAATATCGTTACAATGCAAATTACTTAACTCATTAAACCTCAAAAAACCTGAGTAAGCTAGTAAAATCATTGATAGATCTCGAATGACTAGCACATCATTGCAGTGACTGTATTTCTCGCATAAAGTTATTAAAACGTCTGATGTGATTGGCTCCTTTTTAATAACAGGCTTTGAAAGTGTTCGTTTGGAAGATTCCATTAAGTTAATCACAAACATATTGTCTGTTGGGTCAGGTAGATTCTTTAACGAATGAGCCCATTTAATACTATACACAGTATTGCAAATCACAGAATTCGGCGAATGTTTGTCAATTAGATCTGTTAAATATAATGCTATATGAATTGGAGATGCAGGAATAGATAATCCGCCCTTTGAACTAATGAAATGTTCCCATTTCTTGAAATAAGAATAATACTTGGTGACCGTACTGTTACTTTTCGATTGTGTTAAAAAAGAAGCCATCTTAAAGGAAAGATCATCGAAACAGTCATGTTGTATTCCACTCTGCTGTATTTCCTCGTCAATTCTGTTTTTCAAACTCAGACCTGCAAAAATGCATAACAACATTAATACACACGTGTCTTATTATACAAATCTTAAAGCAATGAAGCAAAATGGAATCGGTCTACCATCGAAAATTCCATTTCGGCCTCGACCTCTTCTTGTAAGTTTTCCTGGTTGAAAAACAACATATTCACTGATATGCTCATTTTTCTTTACATCATCAGTAAAAAGCAGCGGCCAATATGGCGCGGACTTCCACATGGGTAGAACCATTGTACACTTGCATTTTTCTTTCTGTATTTTACGTACACACTGACTAGCTAATCTAGGCGGTGGAACGAGCCAATAATTTTCCGCAAAAGACCAATAAAATTTCATAGCATCTATACCGGAAGTACCTGGACACCAGTACTTTGAATAAAATTTTTGGCATTTTGTATTATAACTACACGCAAAAAGATCAAAAGTATGCGGGCCCCACTTCTGTTCTAATGAGTCAAATATTTTATTTTCGAGTGACCAGTCGTCACTATCTGTACACCTGCTTAAAAAATCAGCTTCTTTATTTTCTGTTCTTGGAATCCATTTAGGAAATAAATCTATTTTGTGATCATGACACATTTCGTAGACATTAACTGCTATGTCTTGCAAAAATGGCTGTCTACTACCGGTTTTTAAAATAGATACAACATTTCTATTATCAGTATTAACTAACACCTGTCGCCCTTCCAGGCTTGAAATTGAACTATTCAAAACTCTATGTACTGCTTCTAGCTCCCGCCACGTGGAACTTAATTCACTCTCAAATTCGGACCAACAGCCGACAATCGGACTATCAACATTTTCAACGATAAATCCAGCATATCCAGCTCCACTGGCGTCACAAAAGACGGTACTACCTGTATCATAAGTGAAATCGAAAGACTCTAATTTTCCACTGTTCAAAATTCTTAAATTTTTATCCCAAAATACTATCTCGTCAAAAGCTCTTGAAGTTATCAAAACCGGAGCTTTCCAACTAGCACGGCTAGTGACACAGTTATATAATGCCCTTGACCTTAATCTTACTAACTGACCAATTGCCGACTGCATGGAAATTAATTGACCAATCAAACGCGCCACGCTACGCACTGGAAAGAGGACGCAACCTTTACGTATCTTTTCTATAAATCCCTTCAAAAGAAGTTCTGTTTTTTGAATGCGATTATCTGTAACTTTGATTTTACCATTACAAGTATCCCAAATGTATCCCAACCAGATAATGCTCTGACATGGTAACCAATTACATTTATCGTCTGCTATCAAAAACCCGAACTTGATTAAATCTTGATGCATGAAATTTGAGCTCTCTAAAGCCTTATCATAAGCACTTTCACCACCGAGCCCATCATCTAAAAATAACACTGTTCGAAAACCAAGTGATCTCCATTTAGTTACCACAACTCTCAACAGTTTAGTAAATACAAAACCTGCAGTAGAAATTCCGAAAGGAAGAACATTGAAAACATAAAAATGCGTATGATTGTCATAATTCCATGAAAAACCTAAATATTTTCGATGTTCCTTGAAGATAGTGACATGGTGATAAGCACTTCTTATATCAAAAGAAAACAGGAAATCCCCGGCTTTAAACAGTTGCTTAGCAACTTATTGGTCCTCAAATTGACATTTGAATTTAAAAAGCTCAGGATTAACATGCCTACAATCTAAAACTAAACGAGCTTTCCCCGATTTCCCATAAGCCACTGTTAAAGGGTTAACAATGTACGGCATTTCTAGAGTTTCTGTTATACAGCCCTTTCTTATCAAACTTTCTATTTCACCCTTCACAAAGGAAGAATTATCTCTGGCTGATTTATTATTCTTAAAATAAACAGAACTAGGAATATCTCTAAAAGGAAGTTTATAACCAGATTTTACAATGTCAAGAATGTATTGACTTGCACCAGCATTTTCCCAATGCTTCAAAGAACATTTTAATTTACCGACTGGTGACAAAATTGTACATTTGTCGTTTACTAAATTTTCTTTAAAAAGCTCAGACTTCTCAAATAAATAATTTAAATTTCTACTTATCTGTGAATCTTTATTCACTCGTGTGACGTCATCAATGACTCTGCATTCAGCGCGCCAGTGCCCTGGTCTACCGCAACGGAAACAGGTGCCCGGTCTTTTCCCTGGATTAGACTTGTTTCCATGACTGTATTCCTGGAGACTGAGAAGTTGACGGAGCAGACGAATCCTTTGTCTGATAAAAAGCATTTCGTTGGAAAGGCGAAAAACGAAAACTTCTGGAGCGTTTTTTCCTGCTTCAGCTTACGATCTGCTTTCATTTGAGCTCTGAAAATTTTCTTTTCGTCGTCGGAATCGTCAGCTAAAGGATGCGCCTCGTATTCTTGTACAACTCGCCACCCACTATCGGACGAATCTGCTAGCTTTATCAACTTTTCTCTATGATTAAGAATGTCAATACCTTCGACAATTTTTCTCTGCGCTGAAGTAATTTCCTCACAGGGAACCGTTTTCACAGCGTCTTGAAGGTAACCATCAGCTTCCTTCAACGTGTCAAGGACACGCACGTTGACCTTGTGTTGCTCTTCATTCCCCTTTTTACGGAAAGTGTAACTTTCGTTCGACGCCAAACTCTGATGAATCCTCGATATTTGAGCTTGAGAGAATTCTTTTTGAGAGGTTTCAAATTCTGCCAATTTGGAAGATATCATTCTTTCCATGCTTGAAAGAAGTTCATTTTGCTGATCCAGCATGGCTGCTAAACACGTGGTCTTTCCGGCAGTAAAAACGAATTAAATGTTGCTTGTACTGAATCGTCTGGTAGAATGAATATTTTATACACATAAACCTTTAAATACTACACTATCAAGCACGTAAAACTCGTGCACAAGTACTGACCAATACTTTACATTATAAACTATACACGTTACGAATAGACAAATATTTCACGCTTTACTAACGAAACGCGTGAAATAGATAAACCTGTCGAGTAGGCAAAGGTAAGATCATTATTTTGATATATGAATACATAACATATAAACAAATATTGAGCTAATTTATTTCTATTAATTTGATGAAATGTATCAAAGTGGCCATAACCCCCTCTCCCCACCCCCAATATAAAGTTATTTTTCAAAATTTCTACGTTTACGGTGAATATTGTGTAATGCACGAGTTTCTCGACTTTACATATTTTCTATTGTATAGAGAACAATAGTCGGTATATATCTGTAGACCTGTTAAGCGGGTAAGTGATTTACTAGACCGCTTTTAACAAAAGAGCCGGTAGGTAATATGATTTGAAGATTAATTTTTAGTTCTGCTTGTGGTTTTCTCGGGAGCACATGTTCTTTTTATATGCTTTTCATGGAATTGGTCACATACGAGTTATAACTTTTTCTAAATTTCAAACAATTTTCATATCTAATTGTTGTCGGGGGTGGGGATGAGAGTTAACAAAAGTATGCCGTGTGAGTACGGTGTGACCAAACATTTAAAGTCTGCAACATATTCAATTTAACTAAAATATTATTTTCCACTTTTGATTATTTCAATGACACTAGTTTCATTTCTTTCAGATAATTTATATAGCGAGGAACCCGAAGGATTTGGTCACATCATTCTACCGGCTTATGCAATGGGGAGATCAACTGGAAGAGGGTGACAAAACGTTCAACCAATTTATTGATGCTTTTGTTGACGGGACCGGTAAACTAAAATTACACATTCATGATTTTAAAACAGTAGTAATAATTTCATACAATGAGTGTATGAATTTCTATAGAAAAATTCAAATATATTCACAAAAGTTTGTGAAAACTGGATTGCACGATTTAGTATCTTTTGGAAATTGTTATTTGCAAGAGATGTAAAAGAACAGTATTTGAGCCGCGTCACGACAAAACCAAAATAGTGCGTTTGCGACCAGCATGGATCCAGACCAGCCTGCGCATCCGCGCAGTCTGATCAGGATCCATGCTGTTCGCTTACAAACCCTATAACAAGTAGTGAAACTGATAGCGAACAGCATGGATCCTGATCAGACAGCGCGGATGCGCAGGCTGGTCTGGATCCATGCTGGTCGCAAACGCATTATGTTGATTTTGTCGTGACGCGGCTCATTTTTGTCTTTCGTAAAGCTGATATCTATATATTCCATATTCTATAAAAAATAATAAATATAATATACATCTATACAATATAATGACAGTCTGTCTGGTATCACACCAAACCTCATTAGAATTTATTTTACATTGAATTTAAAATGAACAGAAAATATGTCTCCATCAAATAAATTATGAATTTGAATGTTCGACAAATGTTTTCACAATGTCAACTTTTTCTGTCACAGGTATTTCCTGTCCGTGGCCAAAGCATCTCCTAGAGTTCTGGGAGAAAAGGAAAGATAGAAATGTTCTATTCTTAAAGTATGAAGAAGTTGTTAAGGTATGCCTTTTACTGGTCAACCTACCTACATTACTTATTAACTAACTAATAATATACCTCACTGTGTTTTAGTAAGAATAAAAAGCATTTTTATAATCATTTTGAAAACAAAACCAAACTTAAAATATAATATTGTCTTATCTAATGCACTTTGGATTTACTACTTAATAGGTTCTCATTTGTTCAAAAATTGTTAAATAGTGTTTTCGCTGGAATACAACTTTATTGGAACCAAACACTTTTCTTTCTTCAGAATATGGCAAATGCTGTGAGACAAATTTCTGACTTTTTGTGCAAGCCGGTGACTGATGAAGAGGTCGCGAAAATATGCGAATATTGCAAGTTTGAGACTATGAAGAATAATAACATGTGTAACATGTCATACCTGAGAGATTTTAAATATGTCAACGACAATGCTGAAGGTGGTTTTATGAATAAAGGTAAATATATGTGCAAGATTATTTAAACTTTAACGGTCAGATTGAATAGGTTACAGGCTCGTGGATTGATTAGACAGAAATGGTAAATGCTAGCGAATGTAAATGTTCCCCCTCTTAGATGTGTACATTTAATTCAAATACGTGGAAATATTCATTCTCATGTGGTTTTTCTTCTTTGCATACGTAAATGAATCTCTTAAATTGTCTAAAAAAGCAAATATCAAAGATTTATTGCGGGAAAAATATAACACAGTCGTCGATAATAAAGATGTTTTTACATTTTCTTTCATCAAGGGAAGCCTGGAGTGTGGCGTGAGGTACTGACACCGGAAATAGCCACGAGGATTGACGAAATGGCGCGTGAATTGGATGGATCCGGACTTGTTTTAGAGGAATTCTGATTTTTTTGTCAAGACCTGTAACTTGTTGCTACCGTCTCACCTACATTTGTAACTAACAACAAAAGACGAATGTTAGACAGTATTATGTTCCTAACTTATCAATGTTATTCTGAACGATAACGGTTTTATAACAAAATGAAATGGATAAAATGGAAAACTGTAAAAATGCCTAACGCGGCAACATTGAAATATTGCAGTCACGGTTTGATTGAGTCTGTTCGTGAATCATAGTTATTTTAACTACAAACTTTCCTTTATGCCCCCTAGCACCGCCTCAAGAGAGCATTTAAACAAGCATTCGAAGATGTGTGTTATACGATTTGTAATCGAGGAATCTTTAATGCCACACATTTGAATTATTACTACGGATTTACTTAGAATATATCACAATCAAAGCGAGAAATACAACATTTCAAAATAATCATGACATTCATGTGATATTCCGTGACTGTATAGATGCTGTTCAAGTGTTCTTCTGATACTTATATTTCCATAAACATAGCATGCCTTACCATGCTTACATCTTTAATGGACCTGTCATCCGTTCAATCAGGAGATAACCATTCAGCATTTTAAAGGGAAACGTTTAGAATATGTAATGACTGAATATCGAACAGTACACACCCTGGTCATACAGAAAGTATGTACCGGTTGCATGGAGAATCTCTTAGTGCCAGCGGGCTAAGACTTAATAAAAATGTAATCTGTTCACAAGCAATTGTTGCACAAGTTGTTGGTAAATGAACTGCTGTTTAAAAGACCAATGCAATTTTAAAATAAAAGTTCAAAAATGCTTCAACAAACAACAAGTTAATACAATGTATTTATATTCCGTGCTTATGTCAGCATGAATACATGTATATAATTCAGGCATTTCCTCCAAGATATGTTTTGTAAATAAAACTGTGTTTTATTTTCATGTGCATAATTTACAAACATAAGTACATCTCCATCGTTAAAGGAAGGGTTGAACTACAATGTATGATTTTGACCAATGGTACTAAAATATACATGTATTGTGTTTTCTCAACTTTTTTTGTAAAATCTTTTCCTAGTCATTAATGATACTTATGAGGCTTTCAGTCCTAGTTATTGTTTTTTTTTTTTCAGATAAAGCAATTTATCTAAATTATAACCTTTTTTAACAAAATATAACGTCAAAAACATCATAGATCATGAATTCTTATACAAATGGAGAGAAGAATGGGGAGCCTGAAATATAATTTTTATTTTAATAGCCGTTACAAGGGGCAGGACGTGAAGTGGTTGCACACTTGGTTCAAGCGAGCGAATTAGTTGCAAACTTGACAAAATGGCGAACACGGCACCATATGGGCGAGTCCTCGAGAAGAGTATTATTGTAGTAATTTTAGGTGCAGATACAGAAAGATGAAACAATTCAAGAAGCTTCTCCTGGTTCTTTAGCGTGCAAAGTGTTTAAGCACCCATACACGGGACCTCGTTTTAAAGACTCATCCGAAAGATTGATTAGTAATTTTAGTTGGCCAGTCCGGGAATAGGACACACAATGTCGAGATGACAAGTCTTGCGCTCAACTGATTGAGCTATGCGGGATGGCTAAAAATAAAGAGAAAAAGTACAATGTAGCGTAATATTTAAAATATTTGTCCAATAGAATTGCAGTATTCAAATGAATCGTAACACATTTACTTTTATAAATCGTCAAACTGTTAATCAGTCTAGATAATCGACTGTTTGTAAAAATAATTTAAAACACTAAGCCGGTTGAAATTTATTAGTACGTATTTACCAATTTCATATTGTAAATACAAACTAATAAACTTTAACCTTTACACAAAAATATGGAATGTATAATCATGACTGTACCATCAATGGAGATATATAACGTTTTCTTTGTTGGGAAATCTGTTACAAATAAAAATACATGAAATTCGTCTCCAATAAAAGAATTGTTATCATATTGCAGTGTTATCAAATTCACTCATATCTTGTTATACCCAAATGTCTTCCAGTTTCTATATATAATTTAAGGCTACAACATCTAAATCTCGATAATGATCTTTTTACATAAAATGGCATATCAATAGATAGATAGTTTTCAGGATTTAACATACATTTGAAAACTTTTAAGGTGGCTCTGAATTTCTCCCAATCTAATTTTGTGTTTTACAATCAATAATCATTTGTTTAAATTGATAAATACATGTAAATAAATTGATATCCCAAATTTTTTGACAAAACCATACAAAACCAAACCCATAAGTATACAATATGTTTTTTTTTTTATTTTACTGAAGTAGCCCAATTTTTCTTTACAACATTATCTTGTCTAGTCAACATCAAATGATAATCTCTTGGATATATATGTTCTGGAATACAAATAAGTTTAGACCAATATTTGATAATTTTCCATGATGGCAAATACATAAAGGCAATATTATCATTAACAGAATAGTTTACACCTAGAAAATCTTTACAATATTGTATCTGAACCTGTTCAAGTAGTTCGGATATTTTACTTCCATAAATTTCGGCACCATAGGTAAGTATAGGTTTTACCATAGAATCAAGTAATTTAAATAAGAAGAGTGTACAAGAACTTTCCAAAATTCCTTTGACATGATTTTATAGCTAGCTTGTGCAGAAAATTTAGTTTTTCCTTTTGTACAAGATGATTTAGGTGTAAATAAAAGAACCGTGTATTTGTGCATTGAGGTGACATTTACCGAACTGCCGTTGTAAGAACCATTTTCCATATGATCTGAGCGGTCCTTCATTTCTAAATACAATAATTTCATTTTTATTCTCATTTAAAGACATACCGGTATTTTTACAAAATTCTGAATGTGAATTTAACTGAGACGTACTGAAGTTTGATCGCAGTATCGGCGCAATTTGCTACATCATCAGCGAAAAGAATGCATGGTTCGTAATGAATACACCGCGATGTCCCTTATTACGCAGGAAGACATAATCGTGCTCGTTACATCCCCTTGTATTGTACAGTTTTGAGTACATTGATGGAAGAACACAGAACAAATTCCCTCTAACGCCAACTCTATTTATAATATCGAATGAGTTAAAATGTTAAAATCCATCGAATATTTTTTTTTAATCTGCATAGAGAACATAAAATCGTCCACCCAGTTTATATATCAATCTATTTCTGCACCATATTTGTAATATAAAATATTATTAGTTGTAGAGTAACCGGCTCGAAATCCGGCTTGGGATTCATCTATTATACATGTATTATATAAAAGTTCTCAGCCCATTTATATCTATACCTATATAATATTAGAAAATATCTTATACATAACATTGATTTAAGAAATTACTCTATAATATGAAGGGTCATCCGGAGACCCAAATTTGTACTAGCGCACTATTATACTATCCCTTCTCAGCCCATTTATATCTATACCTATATAATATTAGAAAATATCTTATACATAACATTGATTTAACAAATTCCTCTTAATATGAAGGGTCATCCGGAGACACAAATTTGTACTAGCGCACTATTATACTATCCCTTCAAATGAGTATTAAATATCTTATAAAACAATTTACAAAGGACAGGTGAGATTAATGACGAAGCAATTTTTTGATATAAAATTCTGCTCCAATGCCATCACTTCTGTATAATTTGGTAATTTTACTCAAAATTACCAGGCTTTAAACAAGTGGCAATGAAAAATGGCCCATGAATTAGTTTTTGACACTTAATGCAAGATGTAAGGCAAGCTTAAACATTAAGCGTCTAAAATGATGAAAATGACCATTTTTGGCGAGTGTGTGTGTCCGTGACAGTTATCACAAGAACTACAGACAAGTTATCATTAGAACTCCATCACGCTGTTAAATCTTTACCACGGAGAGGAACTGTTACACGAAGTATAAAGGTCTTATGATAACTTGTAATAACTCTCTCGGAGTTCGTCATACATTTACACAAACACTCGCCAAAACTTTTCGATTATTGAAGTTTCTTTCGTGATTGAAATCCCAACTATCTAGAAAATCGATAATTTATCGTCCGCATAACATTTCTCATGCATAAATGTTGAATCCATTCAAACATGTTCTACGTTAAGTACAGATTATCACCAGAGAGTGGCAAATCCCGATCTGCTGAAATTTAGGAATGTTATCGTTACCTTCATTTATGAAAAACTATTTGTTTGCGTTAGAAATGTATATCAGTGCGTGTTACGTACATGCATGAAAATGCAATTAAGTATCGTCAAATATTGTATCTGCGCGAATTCAATCATTGTGACACGGCTTTAAAGGCACATTATGCCTCAGAATTTTTTCTCTCTCTCCTTCTTTGGAGTTTTATTACGTTTTAATAACGCCTTTAGATCATGTTAGATGATTGTTACCTCTCAATGTAAAGTAGCAAAAAGTAACCAAAGTAGTATTTTTACTTCCGCAGAAAATATTAAATCACTGTAACTGAACTAATTTCCAGAGAGCAACACAAACAAATTATAGTGCATGCAATTGGCCAATAAGTAAATTTTTAGATACTTTAACTGTTACTTTATGACACCAGGTATAAAAAGCCTTTGAATAATTAAAATAAAACCTTTGCTTGGTCATAATCGGCTTTAAATTAAAGATGTAATATGCTCATCTTTGAGTAAATACTTTCTAAATCTATGAAATTATTTCTGAATATATCTAGTGTGAACAAAGGAATATATAAATATATACGGGTATCTGCATTCCCTTTTACGGATCAAGTCAAGTTAATTGGTACTTTCTTTTTTAAAAATTTTGCCAGATTTTTTAATGGCACTGTACATTCATATTGTGTCAGCCATAGTGTTTAGATCAATTCTTATTTGTGTGCAGTTAAAAACTGTATGTATATTTAATATTACAAAGATACATGCACTGTTCAATATATCAATATTTTCAAATGTCAAATTTGAGCATGGAATATATTTTAAGTCGTGGATTAAAGAAGAAAGCGTTGGTCACATCATTTCCATTATTATTGATCAACAGTTGATACTTATAAAAAAAAAGGCACGATTGGCAACATTATGTTCAAAAGCAAATCATTGTATGTAATTTATGCTGTTTTAAATGTATCATTTGAAGAAAAAAATTGTCATAAAACTAGAAAAATGTGAATAAAGCGATATTTTGACTTCCATCACTATAATTGTCTATAGAGGCCATAGAAGCAAAAGATATGATTCAGAAAATTGGCCAATCAGTAACTGTTTTAAAACTATAATGTTTAGGACAACACAAATAAAAAAAGACTGTTTACCTTTATATTTAATTAATAAGTAATTTTACATTTATGTAAAATTATGAGTCAATCGATCAACAACTTTTTATACTTTGTTTTCAAAAATAGATTTACAATTATGCAGATGACAATACTCTAGCCTTCTCCAACTCTAAAATAGACACATTGAAAAACACATTAGAAAATGAAAGTAAAATACTTATTACCTGGTTTAACATTAATAAAATGCAAGCTAACCCTGACAAGTTTCAAGCCATAGCTGTTGGGAGAATTACAAATGAACACTTAAAAGAATTTCAAATTGATAATGTTACAATAAAATGTGAAGATTGTGTTAAACTGCTAGGGGTAGACATAGACTTTTTACTTAACTTTGATATACAGGTCACCAGAATGTGTAAAAAAGCTGCCAATCAATTAAATGTGCTCTTAAGAATTAGGAAATTTTTAAATTCAGAATGTATTCTTCTTATTTACAAATCTTTTATCAGATCTAATTTTAACTACTGTCCCCTTGTCTGGCATTTTTGCTCCAAAACAAACACAGAAAAACTTGAAAAACTCCAGCATAGAGCTCTAAAAATAGTATTTAATGATTTTAATTCTTCATATGACACATTATTTAAAAAAGTTAATATGCCTACTTTACATTTGTCAAAAATTAAAATAATAGCCAAAGAAGGTATTTTAGGTATCAAAAAAGTGTAAATGTCCCTAGGGTCAAAACAGTAACATACGGTAAGAATTCTTTTCGGTTTGAAGGTGCCCAGATATGGAACAGTCTCCCTAATGACATCCGCAAGGTTGAAAATTACAAAGAGTTTGGGAGACTGATCCAGGTCTTGAGTGGCCCAAGCTGTAAATGTGCTATGTGCTTGTAAATTTGCTATGTGTTTGTTATTTTGCTTAGTTTTAATTTATGTAAATGCTTAGACTACATGTTTTGTTTGTTTGCTTTGCTTTTGTGCATCCCTTTTTAGTTTGCTATGATGCTTTGATTATATGTTGGGTGTTAATTTTTCTTTAACCATTTATTTTATGCTAGTTGAATCTGTGTTGAATTTGTATGCTTTGTTCATATTAAAACTCCTGAATTCCCCATTCCATTAGACTGTGCATGCAACTTAATTTTAGTTAACTTTGTTTGTTACACTGTATGTGCTTTATCTTGTTTCTTTTTTATCATAATTATAATAGTTTTATCATAATTTTTTATGCACTTTTATAAGTAAGTTTAATTTATCTATTTATATATTTATATAGGGGAGACTGGGGTACTCTGGGACATGGGGCACTGCGGGACAATGGGTTTTTTGATAGCTTTTGTTCTTTGATTTAAAACTGATTTATGCAGATGATTGATATTGTCAAGTTTTTTTCCTTTCAAAAGTTTCATAGCAGCAAATTGAGTAAAAATCAGTCTGGCGAGTACATTGCACTTTTTACCTTTCAAAGTGAAATTCTAGAAAAGTCCTATATAGCTTTCAAATTCTTCTATATTGAATACTTATTTGTATCATATTAGTAAATGATAATGTGCTTAACATTGCCTTTATTTTCTGATTTGAAATAAATCTTGGTTTGGTTGTCTTTTTAAATTATTGTCACATAAAAATGGTGGGGGTGGTTGGGGTACTCTGGGACAACATTCTTTTGGATTAGACTTTCATGCGTATCAAACTCAAATTGACCTTTTATCTTTTATGACCTTGACCGTTAGATTATTGCACTTTCACTGATTTTTGGCATAATTGATTGTAACTTGGTAATTAATAAATGAATTATCTTCATGTTTTGGCAAAACAAAATTTTGGACAAGAACTTTTGAAAGGATGAACTGACCTTGACCTTTGAATGACATTGACCGTCATGGCCAAATTATTGAATTTTGATTGTCATATTTTGTCATTATGGAAGAATTTGATTCATGTGTGGACAAAACAACACTTGTGATCAAAGAAACATATGGAATAATTTAGATATGTTCTTGACCTTTAAATGACAATGAACGTCAAATGAATGAATTAAGATTATATTTTACTAACTTTGTCATTCATTAATATGGCAATGATTTATGCTTGGACAAAACAAGTGTGACTATACGCACCTATCAAAATTAAAATAAAAATAGAGAAATTTCAATAGAATTCCTACAGAAAGCCCAAAACAGAAAAATTGAAAATGTTGCAGGCTCAGTTTGATTTCAAGCCTGTTCATAAACAGTAATGGAAAGTGCAATTAACCGGCTTAAGCAGAATTCCACATTGAACATGCACTGGAACATCTAGATTTTTGAAACAACCGCAGATTTTCAATTCAGTAATATTTTAGTTTCAATGAAATTATACATGTTGTCCTACATACCCAAGCATGTCCCACTGTACCATATATGGTGTCCCACAGTGCCCCTACCTCGGGGTACTCTGGGACATTTTAATGACCGTATTCTAATGTATATCCCCAAGTCAACTTAATTATTTTAGGTTCAGTTAGTTATCTGTTACATCCAGTACATATTGTCCTTTTCATCCACGAAAGAGAGCATCAATCCTTAAGATATGTTAAGTAGGAGTTTGAAAAATATGATTTTTGTCCCAGAGTGCCCCAGTCTCCCCTATATTTTTTAGGAAACCGTCAATTACATATAATAAATAATTGTAGATGTTAACTTATAACTATTACTATTTTATTATTTTTTTATTTTTTATTATTATTTTTATTTATTTCACATTGGTATATGTATCATACTTAAATTTCTAGACTATAGTCATTTATTACTTTTAGAATCTGTTATTACTTTTAATGCAATATGTACTGTACGTGCATGTCATCAATCTATGCCTTAATTTACCATCTTATTGTAAAGTTCTTCTTAACCTTGATACTCTTATTTCATGCTTAAGCTGCTAATAGTTTTATATGTTTTTATTTTCAGAACTGTTATATGTGTGTAAATATGTTTTATGCCTTTGTTATTGTCGGTAAATAGCTTTTTAGCTAATGTTTCTTGTAATATGTAAACCGACTTTAAATAAAGTTTATTGTATCTTGTATCTTGTATCTACATTATACTGCTTCAAAATTGTTAACGATTGCACTAAGCAGGATACACTAGATGATATACAAAATAAGGAGCTCGTTTTATTTCATAAATGAATTTATTAAGTACACAAACTTCAATCATGGTTGTATTTCCGAAGCGTTGTACTATAATTTAGTGGTGTATGACCATTTTACGGACTTTATCACGTGTCAGGTAACCGGAAGTCGGAAAACAGTGGAAGGCGGAAAGCGTCTCTTTTAAAGTCTGAATTTGTTTTGACGTTTGATATGAATTGAGATGCGATTCACATAGTCTTACACCGGTAAACTTATTGCAATATACATTTTTTGTAATTTTATTTCAAGTTAAGCATGGAAAATATGTGTTTTCCCTGCAAAATGAATATTTTTAATTCCCGATCTGAAAAGTGTTCGGATAGATAAAATTATCGGATAATCTATTTTAATAAAATATTTTTTATCAATCCCAAATCTATGTTATTAAATTAATATTATTTAATTTTGTTTTAAAAGATTTATTTCATGCTTGCCAGTGTTTTATATATCAGATAAACCTCGCGTGTTACTGTAATTTATAAAATGTGATTTTCACTGAGACTAATGTAGCGGACTATTTCGTGGTAGCTAAAGAGACTTCAGCAAAAAAGGTGTTATAGTACTGCTAGACCTGATGGCTGAAGCCAATCCCGTATCAAAATCAACCAGATCTGTGTAGGGTTGGACACCGGTTCCCGGTATACATTGTATATACCGAATAGTGACTTTGTAAATTACGGGTATATACCGTTTCGTAAAATACCGGTACTGGGTTTGATACTTTTGTAAAAAAAATAATTTAATAGTCAATATGTCAAAAAAAATAAGAAGATTTTTAAATAAAAACAGCCTACAAACTAAGGGTGTAACGGTTTACCGGTATACCGATATATTGCAATATGAAAAAATAAATTTCGTACCACGGTACGATTTTTGGAAAACCGGTATTTTATAAAAATCATAATTTTCAATTAATTGCCTTCAAATTTTGTACAAATTTCACATAAAATCTTTAATTGGCGAATTTTATTGGCACCAACGTAAGGTAAAAGTATCCGACAACTAGTACACTTAAAAATCGATAAGCGGCCGCATAATTTACATAAGCGGCCCAGATGTGTAAGGTCACATGTGACTAGTTTTGTTTATCAAATTGTGTGACACTTTACTTTCTATTTATTCCTTACATTTATATTAAGTTTCTACTAAAAATATATACATATAATAATAATATATAATGTTACTCCATCTTAAAAGACTTTATATCAAAACATATACACAACAATACGTATTGCAATATATTGCAATACGCTTCAGCAAAATGGCAATATATTGCAATACGGTTTTTGCCGTATTGTTACACCCCTACTACAAACACGTTAACAGGGTTCGACACTAACTGTTTTTACCAGGGATCCCATAGGAATCCCTGAGATTTAATTCAGGGATTCCTCCTAAATGTCAGGGATTCCTCAGATCAAAATAGTAAAATATGGAGGCAAAGAATAACAAGGGAGTGCAGCAATTTGATTTCAAATTCTTTTCATTTTTGAGACTACATACAGGATATATTGTCTTGTTTCAGATGCAATAAATGTAGTTTATGAGCCCTTTGGAAATAATGCTATTTAAAGTTTTAAAAGCGTTTCAATGTTTAACTTTACTAGTATATATATATATATATTTGGACTGCTAAGATAAATTAAAACACAATATATTTTTACATGAACATGGAAACAGAATAACATTAAGCTCACTGAACAAGAGTTCGATTTGAAAATAGCTATCTTGCTAAAACCTGTTTTCTCCCTGGAGTTGATAATTGTGAACCAGTTTCTGTATCTAAATGAAGGTATAATGCAAGTGACTTGACAAGGTGGTTTGAATTTTTGAAGTTAAATAGGAACTGGGGAAACATTTTCCCAGATAGCCTAGGGTTCACTGAAATAGAGCCCACTCATATATGTAGATCTTTAAAAACTTACAGGTAATGATTAGGCTCCATATTCCAGAAAAGTCTGGTATGGATAACTGTCTATAATTATTTACTTTCATGTCATTTTTAAGGAAATTCTTAATTATGATCACTTTAAAAAAATATTTGATTTCATTTTACATTTTTGTGTTTAAAAGGAAAAATCCCATAGATTGTTGTAAATTAAATATTTTGATAATTTTTTACTTAAGCTAATAAAAATATCAAGAAACAGTTTTGTTTGCATTACAAGTACGGTACCTTTAAATGATTTCATTTTTAAAAATGATAAGTTGCTCCAAGTCCATGACAGGATGTGCAATATCCAAATTTATTGTTCTCAAATTTTACACTGAAATGTCCGATCCCTTTCCTCCCTGTGTATTGATTTTTTTGTAAGTTTTGACACCTGTCACATCAAAGGCACTCACCCCATACAGCAGTCATGTAGCTCACAACACTGATTGGCTCAAAGCACTGTCAGATGAAATATACGTCATTTGCTGTATATTTCGTCATTTGCTGTATGTTTCACGTAAGGATTTTTGTATTTCTTGTCGGTAAATAATGCGTGACCTTGATTGACCTTAGACTTTAGTTAGACAATGTTTTTTTAGCATTGAAGGCTGTGAGTTTCAAAAAGGATTTTAAACCTAAAAGTATGGATTCTTTTTTATTTTGTTTATTAATTATACTTTTGCTGTAGTCTACTGTAGGGAGAAAAAATACACCAGTTATCTTTTTTTCACAATTTTGAAGAAAATTTACAATGGTCACAAGTGCCGAAATTTGGCAATAAAAAAACAAACAACAAACACTGGATAACTGTACAGTAGCTACCGCCGGCATTGCCGACCAACACAAATTTGAAGTACAAATCGCTTGTGTAATAATTATACGATAATTACATTTCTTTTTTGAATTTTCACAACTCTATTTTATGAAGTCAATGCATGATATAAAATTATACAAGAATGTTTCTTAAGTCAAAACATTTTTGTCATATATCGAAAATGAGTTGATAGCAGTCACTGCACAAAGAAAAACTAGCGTACATAATTCAAGAGTGTAGATTTTACCGGCGGGGTTTTTCTTTTCTTTCTTGAACCACTTTTCTTGAATATTTGTGATTCAATGACATTAATTCAGAAAATTTCAAAAATTTACACAGCAATTTTTCATGGATCCCAACGGAATCCCCAGCTAGGAATCACAGGGATTCCTCCCTACTTTTTGGGATCCTCGGAATCCCGGGACCCCGTTAGTGTCGAACCCTGGTTAAACAAACTTTGAATTACTATTATCATGTGGCGAGCACGGCTTTTGCGGCATAGTTAAGTTTGTGACGCGGCGATATTTTTGTAAAAGTATTGTGCTGCTTATGTTCAAGATAATAATATTTTTGTACTTGGCAGGAAAATGTAATTATTTGAACTGATTTTGGTAAAAGTTTGTAAGTTTTAAATGTCAAAGAAACAACGAGAAAACAAATCAAATACTTGAGTAATCACCTGCACACAGGGTTCTCGGGGACGCTTATTTCGGCGTCCCGGTACGCATGTTTATTACAGCTGGACGCAAATATTTCAGAGCAAGGATTCCACGTACGCTTAATTTTGCCTGGGGACGCATAAACATTACCGATTGTTTACAACCACAAATACACAAATGCGTCAGCGCGTGTCAGTCTATAGGTAGGCGGTCCTATGCACATCGACCCGTGAAGCGATTAGCCAATCAGCGATAACGCTTCCGATCATTATCACGCAATAGTGATCAGACTAATGTATACACGCGCTGTACAGTGCATACAATTACCAGATATGACACGAGGTGATAATTTTATATCTTTGATCAACAGTAGATTGGAAATAAGCAAATTTTACCGACAAAAGGATAAAATTATCGACTATTTACGCCGCAAGTATAAAGATTACAAATGAGTGTAATTTTGAATTATTGTCGAATATAGGGTTTCTTAATCGGACAAAAATCATAATCGATCATCGAAAATAATCGAACAACCCTTTCCGATCAATCATCGATTATATAATCGAAACATTTATGATAACAAAGTAAAAAAGTATAATGTACATATCATGCTTTAATATTTATAAGAATTCCATTTCCATGTGACCACCACTTTTTCAACTGAAATAAATTAGTTTTAAGATATAAGTATGCTCATCCTTGAATAAAATATTTTAATCAAATAAATTCATTAAAATCTATGAAATTATTATACATGTATCTCACTTTCTATAAAGGAATGAATAAACTATGTATGGAAACAAGTTAAGTTGGTCGGTCTGTTCTTAACAAAACTACCAGTTTTTTTTTTTTAATGACACTATATATTGATATTGCAACCACCTATAGTGTGTAGAATAATTTTATACATAACATATCTTCTTTGTGTGAAGTCAAAACATGTTTATTTTATATCTACAAATAGACGGTATAGCAATTTTAAATATTTTCTAATGTCAAATTTGAGCATAGTATACCTTTAAACTAGCATGCCTGATTGTCAACTATTAACTCAATGGTCACCAGTATGCTTTCATATTCAATTGAATGAAAATTAATGTTTCAAACAAATGGCTTTAATTTAGAGTGTTGTTATAATACAGTTAGTCACTTAAGTAACAGCAAGAAAATAAATTACCGATGATCGATTATTAAACTTTGTAATCGATCATCGCCGATCGGTTCTATAACCGATCAATTTTCGATTATACTCGATCATCGTTTAATCCCTAGTCGAATATTTTCGGCATTTTCTAGAAACAATTTTGCTTTAGTTTCATTCTTGCAAAAACTTTTTATAAGAGCAGGGCTCACACTGGCTCAAATAAAATAATAGCCAATAATTTCAACTTAAAAAAATAATAGCCAAAAGTTCAGCGGACTATTCACGAATTAGCGATTAACAACATAAGCAGTTGATTAAATAAACATTACATTTATATCTTTCAGTTTTATAAGGATTCTCAAATAAACTGATACATTTGTGTATATTGATAACTACCTTTTTTTTTAAATAGAACCACAACTTTAATTGTTATTATAGAACAGAATAAAAACATTATAATTAGTATGATTACTGTATAACAATAATATTAAAGATTCATTATAACTTCACATAATGCTGTTATCAGACAACTTTTTTTGTTTGTTCTTATCAAATTTTGTCAGCTATAACCACTGTCAATTTCCTCATTTCACACACAGAACTGGAGTAGATCTAGGTCATATTAGCCTATAGAAATAACACAAGTTTGCAAACTC